GTGCAGTTGCTCAAAATGGTACAGAAACTAATGACTGTGAACCGATATGAAGAGACAGTGAAGAAAATGGAAGATGAGATTTAAAAAAAAAAAAAAAATGAAATTCCTGAAAAGACAGGAAGCCCTAATCTGCCGTTTGTGCAGTTTGCTTTAAATCGAACATAATTGTCGTTTGAGACAATGGACCAATTTTCAGAGATTTTTGTTTTTTCCCCAGTATTAGACATTTGCAAAGAAGTTTTTGGATTGGGTGAGAGCTCTCTAAAAGGCTGCAAAGATCGCCATCCCAAACGATTTTGTGGGAGCGGCGTCATGAAAATATCGTGCTGCATGAATGCTGTGCTTCTAGTTACTCGTCGGCACCGATTTCGGCGGCATCATCAATAGCCGATCATGCATATGATGGCGTAATTTGCATATCGCATTCTTATTGCGAACTTGAGAAATATGAAAGTCTGCGACATCTACAGCCGAGTATTGTCGCTTATCAGCAGGTAAACCGTACTCTCGTAGATCTCAGAAATTCAGGGATTCGAACTACCGCAGTTTCCCAAGCATATGGTTAAAGTTATGAAGCAAATGATTGTATTTAGAGATGTTCGTTCATTTACATAGAAGGAAAGGGAAGAAAATTGTCCTGGAAATACCAAATCCAGAAGCGTTTTTGAATCCCTTGTAAGCTTTACTTCATGTCGGATAAGTACTAGTGCATTTATACATGCCTACTTCGGGAGTTGGGGTATTTTTTAAAAATGTCCAGTAAATGATCTGTTCTTCCGCTGGGGCCTAGGCAGTCTCGCCAGCTGGCCCTGTGCTCCGGCTTCTCGAATAGTTGGGTGGGTCGTCGATTCCTTGGGCTAGTCGAGTCCGTCTGCATAATACACCAGAACATAGCACTAATTCGACACAGAAAAAACGGTCTTATACAGGCAGCTTTGCGTCATTATACATGTCCTGCCTAGGAGGGAATCATGATGCAACACTGTTGTGTCGGAATGCAACAAGGACAGAAAATTTAGCATTGACACAGGAAGGGATGGGATTATGCGAGGTAGATGACAGCTAATGCAGCACACCCCTAACAATCATTGGTACTGCACTTTCGATCTCATATTATCAAGCCAGTAGTCACCAGAAAAAAAAACGGTTAGGCTAGTTATGTGGCAGGAATCAGACAAAACAAATTGACATTGGTACCCTCGTTATGTTAAAAGAACACAGCGAAAGCCGCTAATGCGGTAGAAGGATCCGCTTGAACAACTAGTATGAGATTGTTTAAATAGAAGGGCTCAGAATGGAGAATAAAAAAATTGTCAAACGTATGAGAAGTAAAATGAGAATAAAAAAAGAACAGTTGACAGAAGTATTAAAACAGAAGTGCCCACAAAACACTTTTTTTTCGTTCTGTTTTTTCTCCTCCCCATTTTCTACCTTACCTTTAAACGCTTGAAAGGCCTTTTTTTTCCTTCTCGTCATTTTCTATTTTTTTAAGAGCCATACAGGGCTTAGAATGGAATAATTTCATTAATTTTTTCTTTTTTCAACATTTGAATTGTTTTTTTTTTTAGATTCATAGAGGTGTTGAAAACACAACCACAGTAATTCCAGTTGACAAAAATGTCATACCATCTGGACGTTTGATTTTTGCTGGAACAGGCCCGGTTACACGGGATCAGGATGATGTTCGCCGTTTTGGTACTGCAGCACGTAGTGCCATGAAACTGTAAGCACTGGTAATGAACTACACGGGGATGTTAGCGCTGTTTTTTTTTTCATAAAAATCAGTGAACAAAAAAACTTTGCACAGACGTAAACCGTTGTTGCAGGGCTCTGAAAGCTGGTGTGAAAGCGCCTTTGATTGTTACGCTGCCGCACAAAAAATATCCGCAGGCAGAACTGGTAGCAGCTCTCGGTGCAGTGCAAGAGTTATACATACCGCGGAATGTAAGGGAAGAGGAATGGAGGGCGAAGGTGAAGGCAGTTGGCTTATATGCGCTCGATTACGATCCAAAGGTGAGTCCAGGTTCTGGAAAAGCTCAGATTCAGTTTTTCGTAGCAGACACTAAAAAAGAAGCCGACAACACTCGCTTTTTTTTGAATTCGAGAAGAACTATGGATTTTTTTGTAAGTAAAGGTCGCTTCCAGAAATGTTTGTTAATTCGGGACAGGGATGCGATTTGTCCAGATCT